TGTCATCTCTGTCGACCTCGTCCAAGTCTATTTCCTGCAAATATAACACAATAAACATTAGTTCTAATACAAAATGGCCCTAGACACACAAAAGTCTTAAGTGAAATGTATTAAAAATACTGTAAACTAACAATATATCATCTACTAGACTCAACTCTTATACTCGTGAGACTGATTAACCTTGCGCTTTGATACCAAGTTGTCACTACCTAAAATCACAAGTTAACCCAATAAGTTATACAATTCAACTTAAAATATGGAAAAATAAATAGCATGAAATATCTTAAATACTAAGTCTTTTAAATAAAATATGGAAATTATGAAATACCACTCCAAGATTTAGTGTCATAAGTACATGAGCTTCTAAACTCAAATGCAAGTTTGGAACTAAATGACAACCCTAGACGTAAGAAATGTTCAGTCTGATTAATAAAATAAAATTATATCTAAATACATAGAGGGAGGTGTTGACCATGAAACAACCAAGCAGCTCACCACAACTCCAAGATAACTTAAGCTCAACTCTGAAAGATCCATAAAATGCATTTGAATTCAAAATCCAACCACAAAAGAGTGCAACAAGTGTAGTATAAGTACAAAACCATATGTACCTAGTATGTCTCATAGACCGACAACACCGAAGTAGTGACATGAGTATATAAGAAAATCATCCTTTAATTTTACAAGTTTACATTACACTTATCAGTCAAGATTCATCAATTGGGATAATCAATTTCATGTAATGTCACGCCCTAAACTCAAGGGGCGCAACTGGCTCCTAATGCCAAAACTCAGGCCCGAGCTGACCCTGCTGAACCATTTGCTACTAGCTCATGGCAGTCACATGTAATCAAGAAAACAAACAAGTATATCTTTGCTTAAAATTAAGCCCTCGGCCGGCAAGGCCCCTGTCAGTAGATCTATAAAAGAAACAATTACTCCCAAGAGTTCATATAAAGAAATAGCCAACTAGCACAGAAGTCCTAATTGGGCCATTGAGGCCACCATGATCTCTATACCGAAATTGAAAGAAGGTATATATCAAGACAATACATCAAACAGCTAACAAGCTTTAGCAAACCAACAAACTAGGCCAACATGGCCATAATGTAGCTATACACCCCATACACTAGTCTGCAAGCCTCTAAGAGAAGTAAATATTGGCGGGACAGGGCCCCAGCTTACCCATAAAATATATACAACAAAAGCTAACAAACCTCCCAACTTTGACAGCTCCGGAGAAAAGGGGCTAGCTAACCAAATAGAAGTCAATCCTATTGCTGAGGAGGTCTATTGGGACCTGCAGTCATGAATGCAGTACCCCCCAGGCAATGGAGCATCACTACGAAATAATGTACCGTGTATGAAAGGAAATAGACTATAAGCAGGTATCCTAATATACTGAAGTAATCTGATAAATAAATCAAGGATAAGATAAGTGTATTGACCTGCTCCTAAATCTAAACATATCAAAAATAATAAACAACAATCTAACCAAGCCCCCATCAGCACGACAGGTACAAACAACACACAAGACCACCTACCCAGGCCCCATAAGCCATAAGGTGCCAAACAGTCTATATATCCCTATCGATAGTCCCCTAGCCCCGTAGGCAGTCACATAGATCTCTTAGGCAATAATAATACCCCGTAGGCAACACATAGCTCTCTTAGGCATCAATATAGCTTATAGACAACTCATAGCCCTCTTAGGCAACAATATGGCCCTGTAGGCAGCACATAGCCTTCTTAGGCATCAATATAGCCCTTTAGGAAACTCATAACCCTTTTAGGCATCAATATAGCCCCGTAGGAAACTCATAGCCCTTCTAGGCATCAATATAGCCCCGTAGGCAGAACATAGCTCTTCTAGGCATAGATCACATTCCTGCAGCTAACCACAATATCCCCAAGGACAGCAATAACAATCCAATAGGCTAAAAGCGAGCAATTTAGCTATAAGCAACCTATGCGAATAGCCTCTAATTCGTGTTCAACATAGGGACGCTACTAACTGAATAAGAATCCCGACAAGGGAGGATTATATCCACTCGAGCAACCAACAATCAACAATAATGGCTACAAGTATAATAACGATAACAACCCAATTACATTGCTCCTAAGCTTTAAGGAAACATGTCGTAAGAAAGGAATAGCCTTAACATACCTTTTTCATTGAATTCATGTAGCCTAACGACTTTTACTTACAACCCAGTCGATACTACAACAAGGCAGGACCATAATCAACACACAAAAATAGAAGATACCACGATAATGCGATAAAAGATATGTATTTCCATCGCAAATTTTGCGGCTTATCAAAGTTAGAGTCGATGAAGAAGGGTCTTACCTTGATATTAAGTTCGTAATACACCTCAAAACCTTAAAATATGTCCAAACCCTTGATGTCCCAACACCAAAGTATGATATGACACGAAATTGATAAAATAAATTATACCATGATGACAACGCATAGAACAACTTTTGTCAAGGACTGAAGTTGAGAAAATATATAATTTGGTTGATCCTAGAAATGAGTTTTCTAAGTTTTTAGGTTCTTAACTAAAAAAATGAAGAAGAAGTCGAAGAAGAAGATATATAAAAAGTTCCACCGACCTAGGGCCCCACTTCACGTGCCTGCTTGCGCAGTCTCGCAAAATAGCGAACATCTCTCTATTCTGAAGTCGTATGAAGAAACATTTTAATGCATTGGAAACTAGACTCGTAGATCTTAGATTTGATAGGTCGTGAGCCCCATAAATTTTTATAGATTGGGAGAAAACCTCCGAGACATTTGACCCAACTTTCAGAGAAATCTTTAAAAAGGAACTTACGATAACTTTCGCCAACTTTTATTTTGCAACTTACCTAACTTCAAAAATTGAGATACAACCCTTGAACACTTAAAATATGACATACCACATCATTCTTAATTTATTACTCACCATCTTTGTCTTTCCACGAAGGTACGAGTTAATTTAGACGTTTCGAAAAGTCGGGGTGTTACATGTAATGTCCAACACCAATGACACACATAATCAAACAAGAATGAAGTATGTAATGAGATGCAACGCAATGCAACACAATGAAATGATATGCCTCAAATTCCAAGTACACTCTCAACCATATATACATGATACTTCTCGGAAATACATCGAGAGTTCATGACCATGGGGGACTCACTAGGTCCATATATCGATAGGGACGATCTCTACATGTCTGTATGGATGATCTATATGCACTATCATAAAATGAAACAATTCCCAGCATATACGATCTCCACGTGCCCAACCTATAATCATTAAATCTCACAATCCTCAGTACAAACGATCTCCACGTGCCCAACTTATACTCAATCTCATGTCAAGTCATGTGCACAATACACTTTCAATAAAATGGGATGATGATGCATCTCAATCAATCAAATATCGGTATGATATATAATCATCTCAACTATCACAAATATACGGGTTCAATAAAGAACACAATCACACAATAGAAATCAAGTCAATAATACATCAGCTAATGCCCATATGCTTTGGCATTCTCAGATTACAATCCGTCATTCTATAATAATAAACTTTCCTTTTATAATATCGATACTCCTACCAATGCCTGTCACACCATTGGTATGAGACCCCCATCTTTCGTCCTTACCCATTGTCTATTCTATTTTTATCTTTAATAGAAAAACGTCCTTTAACGAAGTCTAAAAGACTTAACATACCTCGAATGTCGAACATGTGCCACAAATCCTCAAGATTTTACCTTTCCCTTTTGTAAAGCTTCAAGACGTTTACCATCTTTCACATATGCATTATTCATAAGTAAACGAATTTATAGAAACCTATATTGCTATACCTCCATCCCGAACCCCAAAATATGAATCTAGGTTCATAAGGATAAATAGAAATTTTAGTAAAACTATATCACCCATAAATTGTAGAGCATGAAATTATAAGTAAGTTACTAATTTTGATGCCAATGAATATGTCAAGTCTAATATTTCTAAATTTTAAGCTTATGGTTAAGTCTCAATTCCTCAAAATATCATAAATTTAATTATATTTATATAATAAAATACACTTAATATTTAATTACATATCTTAGTATATCAAAAATTAAATCATAATGTGATAATAAAATAATAATATTTTAATTTGAATCCACTGTCTACGAAACCAGTGGTGACAACCATGAACCAAACTGCCAGCGATCCTTACCCCTTTAAATTTGAACCAAACTGCTAGCAATCCTACCATTTAAATTCTAAACCCATTTATATGATAATTTACCACTAAAAAGAATACACACAATTTCAAGGACCCATGTGAACATTCACCATATTCACTTAAATTTTTGAAAATTTTATCTTGATATAGCTATTGCATTTGATTTCCATTGAAATCACATCAATCAAGTTACAGGAGAAGAAATTGAAGGAGAAAGTTTTTTGAGAAAGAGAAGAAGAAGTCTCGATTGAGAGAACAGTTATATAATACATCTGATGATCAATGAATGATTTGGAAATATCTGATAAGTGTAATCTACTTATAGTAAGTGTTGTAACTAACTCTGACAGCTCACTAACTAACTACATATGTAACTGATCATGTACAACTAATACACAGTTTTCACTCAGTGTACCACACTGCACTGCATATTGGAATTAAGTCACATCAACACATTTAGATAATTCTTTAACACCCCTGCAAGCTAGGGTCTATAAACAAATTCATCATCCCTAGCTTGGACACAAAGTAGGAATGTTGAATTGTGGTAACACCCTTAGTCAAAATATCAGCCTACTCAGTAGTAGACAAAACAATAGCCTCAATATGACCTTGCAAGATCTTTTCACAAATGAAATGACAGTCTATGTCAATGTGCTTTGTATGTTCATGAAATTTAGGGTTAGCTGCAATTTGTACAACTGAATTGCTATCACAATGCATAGGGACATGAAGTGCTAGAGTAATGCCAGTTCAATAAACAATCTCTTATATGCTTCTATACTCTGTTTCTACTAAGCTTCTGGAGATGGTAGGTTGCTTCTTGGCTTTCCAAGATATAAGAGAGTCACCAAACTTCACCAAATAACCAGTAACAGACCTTCTAGTATTAGGGTATGAGGCCCAATCAACATCACAAAAGGCCTGTAATTTTGGAGATGCTGAGGCTGAAAGAAAAATCCCAAGACCAGGAGACTGTTTGACATATTTGACTACTCTTATAGCTGCCTTCATGTGGGATTGCTTTGGCTGATGCATATATTGGCTAAGACTTTGCAATGCAAAGGAAATATCAGGTCTTGTAACTATCAAATACAACAACCTTCCAACCAACCTCTGGTATTCACATGGATCTTTAAGAAGCAAATCAATACTTGATCCAACATGCTCATCAAATTCCACTGATGTGAGCTTATGATTCAGTTCAATAGGAAATCCACAAGGTTGTGAACCAGAAAACCCTAAATCTGAAATGAGTTCCAATGAGTACTTTCTCTGATGCATCACAATACCATCTTTGTTCCTGGAAAATTATATTCCAAGAAAATATCTAAGCTCCCCTAGATCCTTTATCTTGAATCTGGTTTGAAGCAAAAGTTTAGTCTCTTGAGAGTTCTTTTGAGTCCATTTGAGGAGTCTTTTACAAATCTTTTAAAACTTGTTTTAAGACTTGAGTACTTGAGTTTGAGGATGAGGAGAGTTGAGTTTCATTTTTCAAAATGAATATATGAGAATTAAGTATTCCCAAGAGTAAATATTTTTACATTTAAAATGAGGAAAAACACCGATTTTTAAAGGACTTCATGAGGAGTTTTGAGTACTATCTCTTTTAAGAGAAATCTTTTGAGTAATAATCTCAAAGTTGAGAATGAGGAAATGTTTTTAAACATATGAGCTAAGTTATATTTTGGAGTATTTTTGAGTACCGATATGGGGACAAGTTCAAATAACTCAAAGTCTTCATAAACCATGTAGCCAACGTGGGTAGATACTTTTTAGATGATTTCTTATTGCTTTTTAAGCATAGCTTAGTGGATCCACTTTGTTGAGGAGTTCTATACCCCAAAAATGTATAGGATAGTTCTGGGAGCATGGGAGTGACGATGTATCATCACATAACTCATAGTTGTGGTTGTCGGTTAGAGAATCTCCCAAGAGTTATTTTGTATCTTTAGATGCAAACTGAGGTAATACTCCCTCCGTTTCACAAAGAGTGACCTGGTTTGACTTAGAACAAAGTTTTAGAAAATAAAGAAGACTTTTGAATCTTGTGGTCCTAAATTAAAGTTATTTCAAATGTACTAAATTTCCCTTCAATCTTATGGCTTTAAACATGCCACGTGGAAAGCTGAAATTAAAATGTTACCAAAAAAGGAAAGAAGACATTCTTTTTAAAACTGACTAAAAAGGAAATGAGGTCATTCTTTGTGAAACGGAGGGAGTATTATATTTTAAATACATTGATTTGTTATCTACTGTTTTAAATACTTTATATAAACTGCACTTTTATTGTTGTTTTATATTGCATTGAGTTGAGTATCTATGAGTTGAGGTTGAGTTGAGTAGAGTCGAGGTGAGTAGGTTTCCTTCTTTCCAATTTCAAGATTTCATGTTATGTTCAGTATTCCCCTTACATGCTCGTACATTTAATGTACTGATGTCATTTGGCCTGCATCGTTTCATGATGTAGATACAAGAGATCATGGTCATCAACATGTGCTTCGTTTATACCACTTGCAGTTCCAGAGTTTTTTGGTGAGCCTCCTTGCTTTCAGGGGATCCCTTATTTATTATTTCAGTTTTGTTCGGATGATTAGGGGTCTTGTCCCGACATCCCTCATAGTATTAGAGGCTTCCTAGACAGTAGCAATTGAGATGTTTATTTCATTTTCTAATGTTAATGTTCTAGACTTGAGTTGACCTTGTGGCCAGTTTGAATATTTTTAAATGTTCTAAATTAAGTGTTTGAGAGTTTTGAGTTAAAATGTTATATTTGAGTTTATCTAATCTTGAGTAAGTCTTCCGCTGAGAGAAGAGCAATGGTTCTGGAGTACCGGACACGTCCAGGGTGTAGGCTCGGGGCTTGATATGAATACCCACGTACCTTAATGCCATAAAGCCCAAGAAGAATGGATGATTGGAAACTTGAATGAAACCCTAACTCTTCTTCTTTTTCCTTAGCATTGAGAGAATTTGAGAGGATGACTTTGATGAGTTTTAGGGAATTTAGGAGGATGAATTGGAAGTGGGTAATTTGGGGTTTAAACATTTATATAGATAGGGCTTAGGGTAGAAGGAAAAACGACATCAATTTTTCTTAAAATGATTAGGGAAAAACCCAAAACCTCTTAAAATAACTGGCAGAGCCCTTGTACGGTTTGGACGTACTACAGACCGTACTGGTCAACCATAGAAAAGTTCATAAACATACATTTTGACCAACTTTTGACGGAGCCTATCTACGGCTCGTAGGTCTTCCTACGGTCCGTAGATACCAACTGTAGAAACCAATTTCAATCCTCAAAATTTCACTAAGTCTGGGACTCTCCTACGAGACCTATCTATAACTTGTACAAGGAATATCAGACCGTCCTGGTGAACCATAAAAAGGTTACTGGGACAAATATTTAGAAAAATATTTTCCCTCTTCCTACGGTTTCCATCTACGAACCATAGAAGCTTGTAACGGTCTGTAGATTGGAACCGTAGACACAACCTACAACCCAATTTTTCCCCTTCTTTTCCAAATTCGAGGTGTTACATTATCATTTTGGGATTTTCCCTATTTCAGAATTTGTTACTTGGCGACTGGATGTGATAACTTCAGGTGTCTTTGTTGGTTGTTGTCCGTCGTTTTATGTTTGTTCTTAGCTTCCCTTCCTCCCATCATTTCCTCCTTTTTCACTTGTTCCTTTACGTGTTTGGTTTCTCTGTAGTACAACTCTGCATTTTTTATTTGAGTGTTCCTTCATCATGCAATGACTGTAGAATTCTGGTAGATCTTCATATTCTACAATTTGAGTAAAACTTTGTAAACCGCCTTCTGCATTTCTAATCTTAACTACGAACACCCTTATTTTGAGTTTGGCTAAGTCCAGTTCTACCCTAAATTTAGCTATAGTTGGTTTGCTTTTTATAAATGTGGCTTTGTCCATGGTTAAAGAATAGCCATTAGGGTCCACAATTCTACACAGACATTCCACTAAAAGAATTGCAAGGAGAGGTCCGGGAGCGTAACCCATACCAAGTTTTGGCCTATGTTTTTGTCTGGTGCAATGTCCACTTTTGCGATAACCACAATTGTTGTAAAAGAAATCGCATGTGCGATATCTGACATTTATTTGGCAGACCCCCCAAATAAGGATTATTGAGTTTTTAATCTTGAAATCTCCTTTACCAACAAATTTCAATAACTAAAATATATGATGAGATGAATGTGATATCTCTATCACTTACTAGCATTTTTGGGTTGGTGCTTTGACAATAAAAAAACTCATAGGGCTTGTTTGGAAGGACACCTGGTAATTGAATTTGGTGTAATTGAGTGTGATTACACTGTCTGTCCAGTTTGGTTGGACAGGTAATTGGTGTAATTAGTAGGGGGTAATTACACTCTCCAATATAATTCACAGGCAGAGACTGTGAATTGTTGGTAATTATATCATGTAATTACCAGCTGATTACTTTTTATTTTATTTTTAATTTCTATTTTATATTTTTTTGTTTTAGTTTTTTTACTTCTATTATTTTAAGTTTTTTTGTTATTATTCTAAAAATTTCTAATTTTTTTTTATTTTTTATTATTATATTTCATTTTCTTCTCGTTCTCAACCTTAGTTCATGTTATTCTATGCAATTTTTTCGTATTATCTATTTCTTTATGTCATGCTTATTTTCTCATTAGTATAATTTTATTAGTATTCTAATTTTTAAATTAAAATAGAATTTATTGTTAAGTAAGGTTATAGACTTACATTTTTTTTTTAAAAAGTAAAAAAAAATAATCATATTTATGTATGCTATGTTGAAATTTGCGATAAGTTAAGAACATATGTTTATTAATTAATATATTTTCAAAAAATAATATATATCTTAAATATTTAATTTAATATCATTTATATAGTTTCTTATTTGTCTTGTATAAATTTTAAATAATTAATTTTTATTTTAAAATTCAATATAATTTTATGATTGCAATTGTGCATCCAAACACAACATGTGTAATTACACTGTGACATTCAAATAGGACATGTGTAATTACATTTGTGGCAACCAAACATGTCAGTGTAATTACTAGGCTATTAATTACTACCCTAGTAATTACACCAATTCTAATTACCTGGTGGCTTTCCAAATAGACCCATAGTGGATAACACTTTTCCTCCCTACATGGAGAAAAAATAATTGAACGAGTACGAAAAAAAAATAGGAGTAATAAATAGAGGAGAGGTTGTTAAGTATTTCCCTCCCCAATCTTAAAATTACGGATTTGAGTCATTGAGGAAGCCGAGCAAAAAGGTAGATGCTTCCATATAGAGGTAAAAAAGAAAAAAAAATGGTGCAATACTACTAAATACAAGAATACAAAAAGAAAAGGGGAATGTGCATTTGCTCGTATAAGATTCCGTTCCTTAACGAGGAATTTAGTCACATGATGTTGTTTAATTTGAGATGTTGTTCATAATGTAGATGCAGAAATTAATTAAATCGTGGAAAGTTAAGATCAAAATTAAACAATTTTGAATTGTACATGTTGGTGGCATATCCACTTGTGTCCTTCGTATTCCCTTCCATCCTATCATGTGGTGTAGCAGCTAATGGCTTCAACGCTCCCAACTGGATCCCCAAATTTCCTATAAAATCCCCCAATATCCCAAAATATCCTCTTAACACTCTTCTTTCAACACACCTAGAGTTACCTCCTCAAAAATGGCATCTAATTTTATTAGCCTTTTCTTCACCTCTTTACTTGTTCTTCTCTTCCACATCTCCCCTTCCACATCTCTCACATGTTCCTCTCAAACTTTCTCATCCAACACTCGTTTCACCAATTGCACTGATCTACCTTCTCTCAAATCTTTCCTTCATTGGACATTTGATCCAGCCAAATCGACTCTCTCTGTCGCTTTCCTCGCATCTCCAGCTTCCCCTGATGGCTGGGTTGCTTGGGGAATTAACCCGGTTGCACCAGCTATGATTGGAACACAATCATTTATTGCTTTCAAAGATTCCAAAGGGGTTATGACTGTTAAGACTTACAATCTTACATCTTACAAATCAATTACAGAGTCTAAGCTTATGTACAATGTTTTGGATTCAAAAGCAGAGTTAGCTGATGGGGTGATGAAAATCTTTGCTACGCTACAGTTGCCGGCGAATACGAAGACGGTGAATCAGGTATGGCAAGTGGGATCGGCGGTGACTGATGGAATGCCCCGGATACATAAGTTTGAACCTGATAATTTGAAATCTAAAGGGATTTTAGATTTGGCTACTTCGGGTGCTGCTGCTGGTGATGGGGGTAAGAAAACAAATGCTACTTCTTCTTCTGCTAGTAGTGGACAAAGTGGAAATGAAACTGGAGGATCTTCAAGGATTTTTAACACTGAAACTACTTTTTTTGCCTTTTTGTTATTGTTTGGAGTTGCGCTTTTGCAGCTTTAATTTAGATGTCGTTCAAGTTTTTGCCCTTTTTTCTTCCTCGATCTTCAGTTTCGTCGATGTAATAACGACTGTTTAATTAGTGGTAGTCCAAATTTATGTTTGATTATATACATTTTGTAATAATGTTCTTCTTTATCTAATGTGTTCAGAAACTCATTTCTTTGTTATAATTTGCTTACAAAGAAGCAAACTTATTTGCTTTTACCTTAATTTTATGTCTAATGGTTTAATAATATCTTTTAAAATTATGAAAGCATTTTTTTCATGTGTATCAAGTATGGATTTTCTGACACTGGACATGAAGTTTAGAGGTAGAAGTGCTGCTGATAGGCGTGTGTTGGACATAATTTGATTTCAGCTACGGATCCAGGCGGAGGGGATGATTAACATTTGAATTGACTTATAAAAAGTAACTTATAGATTTAAAAGTTAAAAGTCATAAATAAACTTTTAACTTATTTTTTATTATCTAAAAGTAAGTGCTTAAAAAAAAATACTTTTTAACTTTTTCAAATACTACCAACACTAAAAAAAAATGTTTAAAAGTCAAAAACGCTACTAAAAAAAAAGTTAATTCAAACGGCAGTACATACCTTCCATTTCATTTGGGCTTTCTATTTCAGTTATTATTTCTCGTAGAAACTTTAACATTAACTAATGCTACATTTGGATCAATTATTCAACATCACTTCTTTGTTATTATAATTGCTTTGCATATATGTCTTTTTATGCCTTACTTAATTAAGCTATAGTCTATTGGAAACATCTTTCTATCTTCACAAGGAAATGATATATGTAAACACTATTTTTCAAACTTTACTTGTGAAATTATACTGAGTATGTTGTTGTTTTTTTCTCTTATTTTTCTGGTAGAACTACTAGTTTTTTTTTACTTTCCTTTTTCGAATTGCAAACGCAAAGAAGATGACCTATAACTATGGAAAAGGACAAAGATTAACATATAAGGCCTCATTTACTCATTTTTAAGTGTGTTATCTAGTTATGATTAAGTGAAAATGCCCTTCATATTTCTATTCATTGATTTTATATAAATGTAATTAACATTTTATCAGAATAATATTATCGGTTGGGTACAGATCTTGTTTTGAGATGTAAGATAGGTGTGCTGTGGAATTAATTACTAGATCCTACCTACTCAATCGTCTACTTTACTACTATATTAATGGTGTTTATAATATTAGTTGTTGATGAAGTAAATAATTCATTATGTATTGACATCTTCTTTTTCTTTAATTTAAATTAAAGAAAGAAATAGGCATCTCAAAGTTGATCTTTCCACCAAAAGAGGAGACAGAAAAGTGATAATACAATGCTTCTTTTATGGAAAAAGGCAAAACTGAAATATCACAAGACCCTATTATGTCTTGCTCACTATTCTTGATTTACATTGATGACACAAGCCACAAGAGAATGTTATTCTGTTCATCTTCAATTCTAAAATTAGTGACAACTTTTTTTTTTCTTTCTATCAATGATAGAGGTAAATGGAAGAAAAGAAGAAGACTGACAACTTTTTTTTCTTATAATTGACTATAACGACTTGTTATAAATTTAAGTCATAGAGACTGTTTGCTTTTCAATTATAGACTATTGAATCATGTGGCATTAACGTTTTCTTCACGTACAATCCGGTAGTCAAGCAACGGTAATTTTGCACTTCTATGCATGTGCTTACAAGTATTCCACATTGTATAATCTTTGTATAGGACTTAAATACGACATAATATGACTTTGTAGTTAACATTGAGTAAATTTTAGGTTTAGCAAATATAAAAATCATATTTATATGTTATAACTATAGTTTGTATAATTGCGCTCCATAGCAAACATAATGTTTGCTATGGAGCATCATATTTGTATAAATTGCTGGCAGCCTTTCATTTGTATAAATCGTTGGCAGCCTCTCAAATCAGTTGTATATAACTACTATGTATATGTATCAATGATTATGTTTGTATATCTGCATAAAATTTAAATTTGTATACAATTAAAGTTTGCTATGGAGCATCAGATTTGTATAAATTACTGGCAGCCTTTCATTTGTATAAATCGCTGGCAGTCTCTCAAATCAATTGTATATATGTAACTACTATGTATATGTATCAATGATTGTGTTTGTATATCTACATAAAATTTAAATTTGTATACAATTGAATCGAAATAAAACATTTGTATAATATCAAATCTCTCTCTCACTTTATACAACAAAATATATATATTGTATTTTGTATAATTTGTGTTTGTATAAAGCGAGAAAGAGAAAAAGTCAAAAGAGAACTGGTAGGGGAAGATACAATTTTACATCTCACTTTGCATAATTATAAGTGTATTGGATGAAAATATATGTATTTGTATATACAATTTTCTCTCGATTTATACAAACACAAACACAATTTATACATTTGTGTTTGTATAAAGTGAGAGAGGCGAGTGAGATTAGCTGGGGAGAGAGGTGAATGGCAATCGTTTGCTACTGGTTACAATGAAATGAAACTGTGGTTATAGCATTTAATTCGAATTAATAGTTTGCTATTTTATACAATTTTCCCTTAACATTATTTATTGAGATTTAACTCTTTATCGACTTAAAACAATAGTAACATATCCAGTAAAATCCCACTAAATGTGGACTAAGGAGGGTATAGTGTACGCAGACCTTACCACTACCTCATGGAGATAGAAAGTCTACTTTCGAAAGACACTCTATTCAAGTGCATTAAATCCAAGTAAAAGAAGAAGAAAACAATGAAAAAAGTATAACCGTTAATAAGACGAGCAATGTAAAGTCTACAAGAAAGAAACAATAATAATAACAAAATAGTGTGATAATCAAAACATGTACAATAAATAACATATTACAAGAACTACAAGGGCACGACTAGTACAATGACATACACTAATAAGCCTAAGCCTATGCACGACAAGACAATACCCATTCCTACTAACCTTCTACCATAATACACAAACTCCACCCCTTCCTATGTAGAGTTATGTCCTAAATAATATGAAGCTACATCAAGTTCTGTCTAATCACCTCTCCCCATTACTTTTTGGCCTAATTTGACCCCTCCATGTGCCCCCTATAATCAGGCACTCTCACCTCCTCACTAGGGCATCAACACACCTCCTCTACACATGCCCAAACCATCTCAATCTTGCTTCCCTAATCTTCTCTGCCACAAAGGCCATTCCAACCTTCACCCGAATAGCCTCATTTATAATCTCGTCACTCCTAGTATGCCCACACATCTATCTCAACATCCTCATCTTTGAAAGATGCATCTTATGAACATGTGAGTTCTTGACTAGTCAACCCTTCACTCGATAGAACAAGGACAGTCAAAACACCATTTAGAATTTACCTTTTATTTTAGGTGGTACCTTATTAACACACAAGACTCTAGAGGCAAGACTCTATTTTATCCATGTCACCCCAGTACGATGTGTGACATCATCATTGATGTCACTACTACCCTTGAGTACAAACCCAAGATACTTAAACTTTTCTCTCTTGGGAATAGTCTTGTGGAAAATCTTACTTCCGCGTACGCTTCATCAAACGCAACACTAAATTTGCACTCTAAATATTCTATTATGATCCTGCTGAACCTGAACCCTTTGAGCTATAGAGTCTGTCTCCAAACATCCAACCTAACATTAACTCTGTGTCACAATCCAAGCTACAATCTAGATGTGACATGGCAAATAGAGTCCCAAGAGACCCTAAACAAGCCACTTGACATAAGCAATAATAAAAATTGAAAGAAAACAAGATAATATTCTCATTCAATATTCATTGATACCAAAAAAACAAAGTATAACTTATAAGCGGAAACATCTAATGTCTGACATAAACTTCTAACCTTATAGTACATGGCTAGGGCAAACTCCTAACTCACGGAATGTAACACCTCAGAAATTAAGGTTGAGCTGGAAAGAAAAGTTGCATAAAACTGCAGTAAAGCGGTTTCCATGAGTTCACCTACGGACCGTAGGAAGTTCTACGGGCCATAGGAAGGCTGTCATAGGAGCTGGATGAGTTTTAGAAAATGTCAAGTCTTTGAAGATGGTCCACGAGTGAGCAAGAAGGATCATAGAAAGTGCCTGTAGAAGTTGTTGAGACTTAATGAGATTTTGGAATCGTTTCTAGTTCTACGACTAGGCCCTACGAACCGTAGAAACTTTCACGACCCATAGGAAGGGTTTTGTGGAAGTATGGCCAATTAATGAGCCCCAATAACAATTCTACGGTTGACCAGGATGGTCCGTAGAAAGTCTTACAGACTATAGGTCCAACGGTAGACACTATTCGACAATTTTAATTTATGGTGTTTTGGTCTTTTCCTATCTAATTAGCCTCTAAACTATGTTGTTTTGGCCCTATGACTACCCATATAACTGGATTTACTCTTCAAAACTTAACTCATTCCCTTCCATACACTCAAACTCACAAATTCTCTCAATGATTTCTTCTTCACATCCTCTCCAAGTATCTTCAAGGCAAACTAGGGTTTCTTTAAGCTTCAAGGTATCTTCCTCAATTGCTAGTGATTTGATTACCCAAGGTATGTGAGAATTCATCAATGGATCCCCTTCTTCTATTGGTCAAATCTCAATTCAATTTTACCCAAATTACCTAGGGTTTCAAGTTATTCTTTATGGGTTTAAATTGTTACGACACTACTAGAAATTTGACCTATTGCCACAGATATTTGGCAACACTTATACAACCGTTGCAATATATTATCTATTGCAATAGTTATGACTATTGCAACATATCACGGGATCTAATAGAACAATAATTAAAGATAACCGTACCATCATTCTTAAAACCGTCGCTACAGAGTGCCTATGGCAACATATTTTACAATCGTCGCACTTAAGGACTCTGTGATAACGGTTATTTTAGTGAAAAAAATTATTTTTAGCCAACCCGCGAATTTTATTCCCCAAAAAATTTATTTCCCTCCACTACTTTAGCTAAAGTGCCATTAATTTCATTTGGGTTGAAATTTCTAGTCTTCTTCCAAAAAGGGTTTCTGAAAAGCATCGGTCTTCTTCTTTAGCGTAACGATGAGTTGCGGCTAACGGCAACAGAATTCTTCGACAAGCTTAGGTCTTCTTCTTCAGAGTGAGATTCTTCGTCTTCTTCAATCTGGGCTTCTTCAGTTCATCTCCAGTGGTCTTATTCTCAACAAGAATCTTCGTCGACTGCAAGCTTTTGCATATATAGGTGTACTACTTTTAAGTTTCCTCTATCTACTCCATTATTTCTAAGAACCCATTGTCTCTAATTTGTTATGCACATACTATTTTGCATAATCTGAAACTCCATTGAAGGGTTTCTCAAAAGTATTAAAGAACAACAAATGAGTTTGTTTGAAATTTATGTTATTTTTTCTAATTTAGGTCTGTGATGTAATCTATTTGTGGTTTATTGTTTGTATTTTAGATTTGGTGAAGATTTATGAACTCTCTGCGAAATTTCTTTAAGAAGTTGGTTTCAATTTTATTAGCCAATACCCGATTGGTAGTTTATTTCGTTCTAATGCTTGTAGTATTTTTATTTGCATTTTGAGTGAACTGAAATGTACTATAAACTGATTTTCAAAGTTATTGAAATACAATTTAAAGTGATTTTCTAGGTCTTTGAATGTGAACTGAAATCCCCTGTTAGACGAAAGTCTAAAGTTGTTGTTTTGAACTTTAATTTTTGCTGATGTCTTGCTACAACAACTACGTATGTGAGTTCCATAGTGATTTTTATCATTTTCTCTTTTGATTCGTCGATATCGTATCCCTTTTTCAGATGTGAAAACCCAACACTAGATTTGAGAATTTTCATTATTCTAGTTGTTGTATCTTTAAGCTTAGAAAATGTAATTTTGTAGTCCCTCTTTTGATAACCACTGGTTGTTACTGTTTCTTTGTTCAATTTCTATCTTTCTTGTTCTGATTCAGAAATTGGGTTAGTGTCGCTTGTCTACATTTACAATTTTCCTAGTGTGACTTGCTAACTATGCGATATATCTATAGAAAACACAGTCAAGTTCTCTATATAGTCATCAGAAATATCATTATTGAATGTAAGTAGAAGATTTCATTTAACTGATGTCCAATCTAAGTAAATCAATAGGTGAAAACTCAATTTTATTGTATTTTTGATGGTGAAATTTGTGGCTAGCTTTTATTTATTAAATTTCTGAGTTCACCCTTGATACAGATGAGACATCAAATTGCCAGAATTTAGAAATAACGCACCTAATACTTCTAAGTAAGAAATTATTGAATCTATTATTTACAATCTCTAGCCCTCTTAGAGCTTCTTATTATTACTATTCTTTCTATATTTATGTAATGACTAAACTAGTATATATATATTTATGTGCTGAAAATTTAGAGAGATTTTGCCTTGACTTTGTGAAAGAACTCTTTGTCATTGAAAAATGATTTAAGTTGTTAACTTTCTTGGCCCATAAATGACCTTGTTATAGATCAAGCACAAATGATTCTTCAATAATACAACAAATCCATGTACTAACTTCACTGTTAAGTTTTCCAATTTTGTCAAATTAAAGGTAGATGGCAAAAACATAGTTGAAATGACGGTTCTTGTTGAGATACTCTAAATTATTTGTTTAACATTTTATATTTAGGAATCTTTTGAGAGTTTGATGCTAAACCTTTGGGTTTCAGATCTGTTTTTTTGTATAGTGATTAGGAAATTCTAAATTTGTACTTGCAAATCCTCGTGATGTATTAATTTTTATCTTATAGATTTTGATTTACCTTATCCACCTACAAGTGACTCATGTCATTTGGATGTCCATTAACATGGAAAATTTTGTTGTATAAAGATAGTAGACTGAGTTTTGTAGTTGATGTGGGATCAGTTTATGAAAGAGGAAACTAGAACGAGCTGTTGAAGTTGAGCATTAGGAAAGATTATGAACAATCATTGACAAATAAAGTTAGGTCTGGACAGTAGAAATAACTGTATTTGTTTTAATAAATCCAAAAAATATTGATTCCCCTGTTGCATTAAATTTTCAGCTTGTGACCAAGTATGAATTTGTTAGGAAATGACTGGTGAACTGCTCTAATTTTAAGAAAATCAATCAACATTCTGATTTTTTCAACAAAATACTTAAAAACTTGAATCCATGACTACAGTAAATATCTATAGCTTAAGTTCTCTGTAGAAAATCCTTTCAATTGGGGTTGTCTTTGTGTTGTGCTATTTAGATGTGATTGGTTTCATAATGAAGTTGATGAATATGGATTGACTCGGGTATACTTCAATAGAAAATGTAGCACAAATGATCCTTTTGTACTAGCATCTCAAGTCCATCAAGTTTTTTACGTGGAGGACCCAATTGAGAAAAATGTTTGTTATGCAAAAAATAGAGTTCCTATTGACTTGTATGATTTGGAGGAAGAGAATTGTCCTAATATTGAAGAAACATTTTGGAGGGAGACTAATCATGATGACATTGGTTCATCAGAAAGATTACTCGATGTTGATGTTAGATGGTCAAGAGAAGATCTCCCTGTTATTATCATTGAAGTTTCTTCCCTTGCACAACATTCTGAAGATGTAGGTTGATAATAAAGTTGATGATACTGATTGGGGATTGGATGAAGGTTGATGATTCACAAAGGATCTTTTTAACTAGTTCAGATATATACTATTTTTTTTGTAGTGAGTAATAAATTCCCTTGGGTTACATCATATCAATTATGAATGTCGATTGTCTCTTCTTCTGTTTCTATTAATGTGCTTATTTTATAAGTTTGTCTCTGGATATATACTTCTTTTGAGATTAATACGTTTGTTAAGTCTTTTTTCTCTATTATTCATTTTTAGTATTCCTGTTTCTACGTTCTCTGAGGAATCTTCAACTTCACAGTCGACCAATAAGAATTCAGGTTCTAATATCTATCTTTATTTCTCATATTCTGAAATTTTGCTGATTTATTGGTGTTAAGTACTAGATGCTTGTTTTTCTTTAAAGAAGTATTAGATGTAGCCGAAGTCTGGCATATCAACTTCTGCTAGTCCATCGCTTGCTGGAGTTAGGATGCTTGTTCAGAAAAAATGTTCCACCTCTATTTAGTGCCTCATGGTTGTTGTTGTTCCATCTGAAAGTTAGATTTATGCAGTTTTACTGATAAAAAATGTGATTTGTAAGATCTTTGTGATTATTTGTTCAGATTTGAATAGTCATGGGTCAACAAGAGCCTTCAAAAAAAAGGAAACAAAAAAGCAAAAAAGAACTTCGCTAAATCTGGATCGTTATCATTCTTGGCAAATAAAAAACGACGGTTATTTACAACAAAGCTATAGAGTTAGAGAAAGGACATCTTCTAAAATTAATTGAAGAACAACAACCAGTAGCACCACAATCTGAAGCAAATGGACAATCTGAAGCAAATAGACAATATGTAGATGAGCAACCTCCAGAGGAGCAGCCTCTAAAGGAGCAAGTGCAAATGATTTCTACCATTCCTCCAACAAATGAACAATCTGAAGAACAAGGTAACATATATGCTTAGAAACTTATTGCATTCATCCATGATTTCTAATTTCTTGTATTTTCTTATTGTTGAAGGCCTTCCCACTCAAAATACAAGAGGCAGAACACAAATGCATAATGTACATAGCCGACGCGAGCGTAAATTGATCACACTAAATAGGTTAAATCAACTTGTTGGTCCTACTGATGAAGTTGTAACAGAGTTAAGTAGCTTCCTAGGCACACTGGCAAGAACTGCGACACTTTGCCCATTTGATATATTTGATTGGAGGAACATGGACACCAAAAAGGATTTATGGGATTACACCAAGGTCTGAAATTTTCAATATTTAAATATTTCTAAAAGTGTTTTGCATATGTTTGTTAACTGAATGACATGAAAGTGTAGGAGAAATACATTATTCCTGAAGCTGTGAAAGGTTGGACTTTGGTAACAATTCGAGAAGCTTGGAGAAGGCACAGAACTGATTTGAAGATCAATTATTACGACCCGTACAACAATGATGAAATTCAAATGGCCAAAAAGCCTGGTCATATTCTAGAATATCAGTTTAGAGAGCTCCTCAAATATTGAAAGTCTGAGAAATTCAAGGTAAAATGTATTTCAGAGTCGCAAGTTTACAATTTTTTTATTTTCTATTCTCTTCTGTGTAGTGTAGTTTCTTTTGCCAGGGTGGTGATTGGTCTAATTTTTTTTGTTTTAAATTGCTAGTTGATATCTTAAAAGTTTCTTCAAATAACTTGTTCTTCAGGCTATACTCAGGGTTGAAACATACTTTGATAACTCAATCACTTTATCTTTTATTGAAGCCATAAGCGATTCACATATAAGTAGAGAGATGATATGTATGGATCAGTATGTATCCTCCACTCTCAGATGATGTTCCATTGAGTGGTAGTGATGATATGTCTAGCTCATTGTTAAGTGAAAAAGAATAACCAGATGTGTCACCTAAGTAAATTTCTTGTTCATTATCAATTACTAAGAATGAGAGACTGAATTTTTAGTCTTCCAATAAGATACATTCTATAAACAAGAAGCAGCTTGAATGGAGGACCACCAGAAATGCATTTGTGCAAACTTTTAGTTAGAGTCTAAACATGTAGCTTTAAATTAAGTTACAATGACTTGTTTGGACGTAGGAGCATTCTAATACAAGTGTGAGTAATTGGCCAGTATGGAGGCATGAACTGTATATTTTTACTACTGTTTGTTACATTGGGATAAATCTAAATTTTACCTTTTGATATTAGTTAGAAAATAAGGAGCATTGACCTTTTATAGTTCATTATGTAGCACCATTGCTTTTGATTTACATTATTCATTTATTTATTTGCAGAAAATGTCTGAAACAAATACTAAGAATCAAAAAAAGCTGACGAATCCACACATCGCAGGCAAAAAGAGTTTTTCTTTAATCTGTAACAAATTGGTGCATTCTATTATTTACTTAACCGTTATTTAAGAAAATTTTTATATTTATTTTTGTTTGACTAGGAAAATGAAACGGAAACTGTATCAACTAAAGAGATCTTCGTGGTCACAAGAACAAGGAAACCTGGGCGTTTATACAAGACCTCAAATGAAAACACAAATAGTAAAATTGTATGACTGTTGTTTATTTACAAGTTTTTATTGAGATCAAATATGTGTTCTAAATTTTAATTTACATGACTACTTATTGGATATGCTTTGTTAGGCTGAAATCGAGGAAATTGAAACACAAATGGACACAAACGATCAGTCTGTTGATGCATTTTCAGCCGTCATTGGTCTTGAACATCCAGGATCACTAAGACTATATGGAGTGGGGGTTACAAAGACGCCATTGAAAAGAAAAGCTGGAAATTCTGAACAATCTTTAAATGACACAAATGATGTAGTGCAGCAAATGCAAGAAAGAATTCAAAAGATGGAGAAACATATGGAGGAACAAAAGAAAACTGTGCGACAAGAAGTTATTACAGATGTAATTTCACAACTTCAGCATGCGGGTTTAATTGATCGTAATATACTAGCAGCATTGTCCATTCCTTCTCCAAGAGAAACTTGTACTTCTGCACAAGCGGCTGATCAAGGTTAGTGTCGCTAATTTTCTTTTTCAATTTCTTCCTCTTCTTCTTCTTCTTCTTCTTATTCTTGTTTGTCGTTATCGTTCATTAAAAGTGAGCTTAAGTACTCTATTTTCTTTCAGATTTACAATGTTGAGTTACAAGAAAATGATGTGAAATTTATTACTATTTAGTAGGATATAAGGAAATAATGAACTGATTCTATGAATTTGATCTTTGTGAAACTTGATGGAAGAAAATTGAGATTTATGCAATAATGATTTGAGTGTATTATTCAATTTTTTTTATGTATTTGTGGTATTGATCATACGTTTGACAACCCTAAATATAGGCTCTTGTTGGTTAAGTATTTTATGATTTTAGTGGTTCTTTATTGCTTCTTCACCTAGGAGTGCTCTCCGCGAATGGTAGAATGTCTTCTGGCAGTTACCTATTGTAAGTTTTGCACCTTGTAGAAACTATTTGTCATGCTATTTCCTTCAAGAAATAGTTTAATTGGTTGAGAACAATTCTGCTAGTATGGTTGAGTACAATTCTGCTAGTATGGTTGAGCATAATTGGTTGTGCTTTATTTAGTGTGTGGCTGAAACATTGTTGATCAATTTGACTAAATTATGTGTCTTGTTTGTTAAGTAAGTCTTGGTTGTTCAAATGACAATCAACAAAGGCACAACCATTGTGAATGCATGACTTTTAACTTTCACATCTTTCACTATCATAACTTAATGTAAACATTGCTAAATTATTTTGTCTTTTATTGTAGGTGATGAAATTGAAGAAGGAGATGAAAGCAGTATTAAAGACTTGACATAGGAGCTGACTGGATTGATGTTAATTAACTTTAATCATCTATGTTCTACAAATCTTTTTATTTTGATGAAGATTGAAAATTATGGTGTGTTTCACCATTTTTGAATAGTCAAATAATATTTGTATTTTGCTATTATATGTTGATATTACTATCTTGGATTGAAATCTTGGTAATGAAGAGTTCATTTTTGTGATCAAATAGTGTATTTTATGTTCTATGGTAATATTGTTGTAGTAACTTTGTAATATTAGTGGCAGTAGATCAATAGTTACTGTTGTAAAAGCCTAATAATAAATGTAGCAAAACCCTAATAGTAACTACTGCAATAAGAAAAGAATTGGTGCATTACCCTATAATAATGTAGCAACAGCCATGGAGTAATAGTCATAGCAGCTTAGAACTGTTGCATTCTCAAATAAAAACTGTGGTAATTGACTGAAATGGTTGTTGATTAAAAAGAGAAATTGTAGCCATAGCATTTAAATAATCGTTGCATAAATGTCTAATGCGATGGTTAATAACTGTCCCAATAGAGAACTAATCATGGTGTAATACTTAAGGTGTAAACCGACGCAATAGGGGTTCCTATTGCCACAGTTATATAAACCGTCGGACAAAACCGTGGCTATAGAGCTAATGCTACGCGATCTGTTGTAGCGGTTGCCTAAACCGTAGCATTAGAGCTAATGCAACGGTATAGTAGCCTATTGCAATGGTAACTCAACTGTTGTTGTATATCAAATTTCTAGTAGTGCGATTCTATTATTATTATTTAACCTTATTATGCATGATTTGATTCAATTATATATTTTCTAGTAATTTCTTATGGACCATACCTTATATTTGATTATGAGTATGAACTTACAAACTTCAATTTATGAATTGTTTATGAATACAACATGTTTTATAAAATTGATAATTTATGACTAAATGATGTTTTAAGCTTTAGTGAAAATTAATATTATAAAAACATAAAAGCATATGAATTCCGCACCCCTCAAAAATGATATCAGAGCTATGGAAGAAAAGAAACGAAATCATAAACGATTAAGAAAAGTAAAAAGAAAATTATCCAGATTATACCCAGAATATAAACAATTAAATACTACTAAGATAGATAATTATAAATTAGAACAACTAATAGATACTATATCTAAAATAGAGTATAAATATATCCAATATTTAAAGAAATAATGAACGAAGAATAGTATAAACAAAATCTTATGGAAACAATTAAAACAAAAAGACGAGAATTAAGACATAGACAAAATAGACTTAACAACAATATATTTGCAGGAACTTGTGAAAAATCTATAATAGCACAGAGGAAAACTATTTTGTATCTACAAATACAAATAGAAAATTTAGAGTATAAACTTCAACACAATTTATAAATGAACAAAGAAGAATATGCAATAGATGAAAAAACATATGAGAATTACGATGGATTAAAAATAAAGATGGTATTTTTTAATCTAGGAAGCAGATATAAGAAAATATGTGACAATCTAAGTTTAATGTTAGAAAAAGAAACAGTAAAATTAGAAGATAGTTTAATTGTTATGGTAAGAACAACAAAAGAAAATGAAGAGATAGACAAAAAGAAATTGAAAAAATAAAACATCAGGCAAAGAAGGAAATACAACAAGTAGAATAAATAAAAAACACTAAAATATTAGAATTAGAAAAAGAACTAGCAATGTTAAAATAAATGTATCTAATAAAACAGAAAGAAAAAGAACAAAAAGCAAATTTAATAGCTGAGATAAATAAATTTAAAGAAAAATTACAACTAGAAGAAAACCAAGATAATCTACCTGAAATAGGAATTGATGAAATAAATAATAATGATCTAGAAGAACAACATTCAAAAACAAACGAAACATATACGAAACTTTTAGCAAACATAGATACAAAGAATCTAGAAGTAAATACAGGAGACGTAGACATGGATGAAAAACCTAGTACATCAGGAGTAAAAAACCCAAAATATTATAATGCAAACTATGAACAATATGATAGAGAAAAACTACTATATGGGATAAAATATTGAATAAAAAATGGACACCTAAACCAATAACTGAACAACATAATTTTTTAGATTTAGATTGTGCAGCAGATATAAATAAAACAATTCAATTATGGATGGGATATATATCAAAACAATTAATAGATAACAAAATAGGAATGACAGAAACACCAAGATACATAGAAAGAACACTTATAGGAACAATAAAATTATGGCTACAAAATTTATCAGATGAAAGTTTAAAAACTTTAAGAAGTAATAAAAAATTTGATGGTGAATTAGCTACTACAACTATGGAAATATTATATAAATACGAAATAGCTATAAGAAATGAATTTAGTAGTATGACAACAGAAGTAGAAGAACAAAATAAAGAAAAAAATCTTGTTTATGATTTTTTCTTTATTTTGTTCTCTCTACTTCTGTTGTCATACTACTAAATTCATTTCTTATAGCTATTTCGTATTTATATAATATTTCCATAGTTGTAGTAGCTAATTCACCATCAAATTTTTTATTACTTCTTAAAGTTTTTAACTTTCATTTGATAAATTTTGTAGCCATAATTTTACTGTTCCTATAAGTGTTCTTTCTATATATCTTGGTGTTTCTGTCATTCCTATTTTGTTATCTATTAATTGTTTTGATATATATCCCATCCATAATTAGATTGTTTTATTTATATCTGCTACACAATCTAAATCTAAAAAATTATGTTGTTCAGTTATTGGTTTAGGTGTCCATTTTTTATTCAATCTTTTATCCCATATAGTAGTTTTTCTCTATCATATTGTTCATAGTTTGCATTATAATATTTTGGATTCAAATTTTTTGGGTTTTTTACTCCTGATGTACTAGGTTTTTCATCCATGCCTATGTCTCATGTATTTAATTCTAGATTCTTTGTATCTATGTTTGCTAAAAGTTCCGTATATGTTTCGTCTGTTTCTGAATGTTGTTCTTCTAGATCATTATTATTTATTTCATCAATTCCTATTTCGGGTAGATTATCTTGGTTTTCTTCTAGTTGTAATTTTTCTTTAAATTTATTTATCTCAGCTGTTAAATTTGCTTTTTGTTCTTTTTCTTTCTGTTTTATTGCATACATTTCTTTTAACATTGCTAGTTCTTTTTCTAATTCTAATATTTTAGTGTTTTTAATTTCTTCTACTTGTTGTATTTCCTTCTTTGCCTGATGTTTTATTTTTTCAATTTCTTTTTGTCTATCTATCTCTTCATTTTCTTTTGTTGTTCTTACCATAACAATTAAACTATCTTCTAATTTTACTGTTTCTTTTTCTAACATTAAACTTAGATTGTCACCTATTTTCTTATATCTTCTTCCTAGATTAGAAAATACTATCTTTATTTTTAATCCATCGTAATTCTTATATGTTTTCTCATCTATTGCATATTCTTCTTTGTTCATTTATAAATTGTGTTGAAGTTTATACTCTAAATTTTCTATTTGTATTTGTAGATACAAAATAGTTTTCCTCTATGCTATTATAGATTTTTTACAAGTTTCTGTACATATATTGTTGTTAAGTCTATTTTGCCTATGTCTTAATTCTCGTCTTTTTGTTTTAATTATTTCCATAAGATTTTGTTTATACTGTTCTTCGTTCATTGTTTCTTTAAATATTGGATATATTTATACTCTATTTTAGATATAGTATCTATTAGTTGTTCTAATTTATAATTATCTGTCTTAGTAGTATTTAATTTTTTATATTCTGGGTATAATCTGGATAATTATCTTTTTACTTTTCTTAATCGTTTATGATTTCGTTTCTTTTCTTCCATATCTCTGATACCATTTTTGAGGGGTGCGGAATTCATATGCTTTTATGTTTTTATAATATTAATTTTCACTAAAGCTTTTATTGTAATATTCTTTGGCTAAGTGTTTTAATCTTGATATTTCTTTAATATTATTTTAATCTAGGGGGTTTCCCGACTAGAACTTCCGGCAGCTGCCCCTTTCTGACTCCTTTTAGGGCCCGAACCACTTGCAATATTTTTACCCTTAGGAGCCATCTTCACACTCAACAATGGAAGAAAAGAGGAAAAGAAAAAAAATGTAGAAAAAGAGGTGGGGTCGGGTGAGTAGTGGGGTGGGTGGGTTTTGAAGTTTTGATGGATTTTAGTGGTTGGGAGGTGAGGAAAAGGTAGGGGAAAGAGATTTTGGTAAAGATTTATGGAGGAGTTTGGGGTTTTTTGGGAAGAATTAGATGGAGAAGAAGAAGAAAGGTTGGGAATTTAGAGAGAATCTGAGAGGAGGGGTCAGTTTAGAGAGATAGAAATAGAGAGAAAGTGAGTTAATTTTAGGTAGGTGAAAGATTTAAGGTGGGTTTTGGGGGTACATCCCATGGGAAAGGAAAAGCATTACCGATTTCAAACTTTTGGGTGGGCATGGCACGCTGGTGGTGTGGTGCGTTGTCAGTTTGCTCGAAATGGGACTTTATACTCTAGGCTTTGGCGCAGAGCGTCTAGTCTGCGCCTGATCAGGTGGCGCGATGCACCCTGTATGCGCCTGCCCTCAAAATTTTTCTGTGGTCAGGCGCGATGGTGGCGCATTGCGCTGCTTGTGCGGCACAAATGGGCCTCAGTACTTGTGCCTCTGGCATGGCGCTCCCAGTTTGCGCCCAAACTCATTTTCTGACATCGTTGATTCTCTTTTCATGTGGTTTCTAATCCAAGGACATGCGCATCAACCAAACAATGTAACATAATAATGGTGGGTTGCCTCCCACCCAGCGCCTTAGTTTTGATCGTGGCACGACTCATCTTTTTGTATTTTTCTTTCTATTTCCTAGCTATTACAAAGAAATCACACTTTGACCAAAGTCCTAAAATAGCAAACTAAAAATAAGAACTCTACACCTAGAAACTTGAAACTAAGCTATAATTTCAAAATTACGCAAAACTACTACTTATTACATATCATTCACGGGTTGCCTCCCGTGGAGCGCTTGGTTTAATGTCGCGGCTTGACTCAGCTTGGATAATTCAATATTAAGC